GTTAATCACCATTGTCGTCATACTCATATATTATTGTCAATCATTGGCGACATTATCATAATCAACGTCATCATAATCATCTATTACTATTCTTCATCATGGGACCTCCTTTGCCAGTACCAAAATATGATAATAGGGTTTTCCCATTTTTTCTGGCAACAAAACAGCTGTGTTAAGATGTTAAAACACCAAACTGAAACCTTTTACAAGGAATCATGTCTGCAATAGGAGGTCCCATGATGTAGATGCTCACCCCGAGGTCTCATTACTCTGATAGTGCATTGTCTTTGGGCTGAACGCCTTTCGGCGTCCTCTGGTCTAACACCTTTTGAGACGAGGCTCAAAAGGAAGCTGTCTCTGGTGTGGACCAATCAGTTTCAAGGACAGTGCATATATTATCAGAGTATGTTTTTGTTTGCATTCTGACCACAAGCATTGTGGTTGTTGCAGACATGATTCCTTGTAAAAGGTTTCAGTTTGGTGTTTTAACATTTTAACACCTGTTTTGTTGCCAGAAAAAAGGGGAAAAATCTATTATCATACTATTCTTCATCATCATCCTGAATGTAAATTGTAAAAAAAAAACTCTCCGGTGTGCGACTGCGGTCACCCATAACAGAACCATGAAACATATCACCACTCAACGCACGGTTCTCAAATACGTAGGAGGGTCACGATGATAGCAATGATGCACTACGCCGCCACCCTTGATACAATCACAATATCTCCGATTGGCACGGTTGGCTACGTGCGGTGTGAAAGAAGTTCTACATACATACATGCATACATACCTGGCTCAACCACCCGAATGTCAAATTATAGTTCTACGTTAATATCAGCCACACAGAGAAGAGATAATCATCATGACCATAATTATCCATTTATTATATTTATAAAACGCCGGTGGCTCCGTGGTCAAGTGGGCAGGGTGTGATTGCCTCTATAGAGTGGCAGACGTTCCACAATCTTGTGGTGGGGGTAATTCCATCCATAGTATAAACACTTGTGTTATGTTTATTGTATGAGACAACATTCCACATCATATTATCAACATCAGCCATTATAAATCCACTGCTAGATAAAGGACTCTCAAAGCCCTCCCATTGTGTCATGTTTCCATGGATGCAATAGTCCACCTAGCATCTGCAAATGAACTGGTTTCATTGCTCCTTATCCATGGTGGGCGTACTTTTGGACATATTCAATTCCCTGGCTGCAACTCCGACATTATCCTACAGACTTTAGTAATTACACAAGGTATTTGTCAATTTTCTTCATCTCCAAATGATATGTTTTGTACTATTGTAGTGACATATAATGGGTCACTACGGCGCCTAGCGTCATCTACAGACAGAGAGAGGAATAGTGGGTATAGTAGCCCTCTCTGACAGCAGAATATATGATGTCATGGAAAGGTCTCTGGGGTTGGCAGAGTAGGGGGCAATTGAGGACATTCTTACGTTACAAAACAGTTCTGTTTAAAAAAAAACATCCCACTGTGATCCTATCTCAATATATTATATAAATAGGGGCTAATAGGATATGTATATTCATTTTTTTAGATGGAGGTACTAAGGAATAGAATCCGCTGGGCAGGAAGGGAAAGGAGGGGGACCGGTAAATGTGGAATTCTTCTTCTTGCTCAGCACTGCTGAGCAACAAACGAGGTGTTGGGGAGCTGCCCTGGTGTAATTCGAAGGTCACTGGTTCAATTCGACATCCCAACTGTGGAAATTTAATTAAATCTGCACGTTTTTAAAAATCTCCCGTGCCACTGTCCACCCAGCGGTATAAATAGGCGGACTAGGGTTTGTTGATCGGCAGATTGTTGTATGGTGGGATAAAGTGTGGGTAGGCCAACTTCTTTCAATACGTCTGGTCAACATGTAAGTAGAAGCCACATACTCTAATGAGTTTGCTCTAGGGGAGGGCCTTCTGCCAGCAGTCACGTGAGCAATCGAAATGAGGGCCACATCTGGGCAAACTCTTTCACGCTGGGACGACGTCTTTAATTAAGTGGAAGTACCCACACTAGAAGTAATATTAATATTTACTGGAGGAATCTGATGAGCTTTGAAGCTTGTTTTCACAGACGTGTCCAGTAGTTTTAAAAGACCTGTCGATGGACTAACTGTGGTGAACCCTTTTATACTGCTCGGTGGAGATTCCCACATTGTTGGACTTGTTGCTGAGAAAGATGGAATCGAGCCGGCGAACTCTGGGATTGTGTGCTGATCGCTACACCACCGTGGCAGCATCGATAACCTTAATACGCCAACAATTATGCCAATAATTAACTTAACTTTGCATTCTTTGGCAGGGTTCAGCCGGATTAAATGTGTCTGTAGGGACGTGCGTGCTTAGGTACCTCAAACCTTGCTTACGCCTTTTCATTTTCACTTGTATGTATTTTTTCTCATGTGTATCTATATATTATTTTAAGGCCACACTTTTATTTAGGAATGTGTTGACTTTAGTTTTCTTATTAATTGTGCTTGTGCACGATTAACAACGCAGCAGCAAGCAGCAGCGTCACCACATGCTCCACGTACATCTGCGTTTTACACAGAAACTACACGCCGTCGTTTTAAAAACTCAATCGCATTATGTTTTTTTGACGGCTGACGACGAGCTTGGCGGATTTATAGTTTTATTTGCCTCTGGAAGTGCGTGCGCGTGGTAAGATAGCGGAGTGTCTTAAAATTTCTCGCACATCTGTCCTCATTAATGCCGCGAAATGAAAAAAATGTCCCTAAGCTGTTCCGCGCAAAATTAATGAATCGCGATGCCGAGATTGTGTTCTTCATACGCGGAGTCTAATGGTGTCACCTCATAATTATGTACACGGAGCGAGAGCCGACGGTCAATTAAAGCCTAATGCGGGAGATCGATTCTGTTTTGTTTCTCTCATCCGACCATGAATCCTTGGGGCCTTAAAAGATAAAATATTGATTTAATTATAATTTAACTTCGCACCACTGCGCTATGAACCTCGCAACCTGAGTTCAGTTAAAGTCCTCGGCTAACGTGGCTAAATGGCGCGCCGTGACCGACAGTAACAATTATAAAGTCACTTAAAATGGAGACGTTTTATCCACATCAAGGACCACACCTCTTTATATGTCCTGCAAAGAGTGTTTGTTGCGTGGTAATCAAAGCCAATAACATTTTATTTTTTTAGCTGATATTTATCTCAACTAATTTATAAAACCGAATGTATATATTTGGTGACCAAATTCAGACCCTGTATTCTGCACAGCTGAGAAACCGGTTTAACCACAGGCAACTCCAATCCAGATTCGAACTCCACATTTTGCGGTGACAAGCCCCTAGTGGCGGAAATTTGGTCGCTTGTGATGAAACTTCGCGGTTCGCCCCAGTCAAGCCTCCCTGGTTATCACTGCTGGTGTTTTAAAGATCCCCTGACGTCATTCTAAAAAAATGTAGGGCATTGTGTGTCGGTGTCGTTGTCTAAGTATGCTACATTTGGAAATTTCATGAACAATTACTCAATTTGGATTACACACATAAACTTAGCCCCCTACTGCAATACTTCTGAGGACTACACGAAACAGTGCCTTCTTTCGCCATGGCTCTGCTCTAAGATAATAATAGCGCGAATACGAAATGCGCTAAATCAGTGCTATTGGTATTATTGTCCCAGTGGTCGCGCAGGTTCAGTGCTCTGACACTGCATTACTCCCCCACACCCTCACCCCCCTACCAACAGAGCCATTCGGCCACCCTGGGCAAAATAGGTTTAATGTAGCTCGCCAAAAAATAAATTGGTTATATAACATTTTGTCAGATAAGACCTTAAAGTTTTATTTATTCGCAGAAATGTGAAATTTTGATACTGAACCCAAGTTGTAACCTCATCCCTATCCTTAACCATAACTTAACATTAGAATCCTAGACATAACTTTGGTCACGGCTTTAACTTTAGACCCATAACTGATAAAGTCCAAACACCTCTGGCATTCATCTTAACCCAAAACCAAACTTTTATATTATCACTAGCACTTATACAATCTTGACTTTCATCATATTTAAGGTTCAAAATGTGATATATATTTTTTGTAAGGCATGTACCGTTAAGAATTGCACAAGCCCACACACATTTACTGACAGTTTAAAGTGCCATGAACCTGTTAATGTTATCTAATCCATGTGCTCCTCTTTCTGTCTCTCAATGTAATTGCAAACATTCAGCCTTTGTTCAATTCTCTTTTTGTTAAAGATCATGTTGTCCACTTTAAATCTGTTCATGTGCATGTGCTGCGTGGATTAGTATATCTCAGGATATTCAGAGGTGACCGTGGCTCGGGGAGGCCTTAATCCAGCACTGGATTGACCATGGCTGCTGTTGTTGATAAAATAAAATGTGTCTCATTTCAACCAGCCAGGTGGTTCAGTGGGTACTGACAGCACCTCGCAATCGGAAGGTTGTGGGTTAAAATACTGGTCAGTAGGGTCGATTGAGCCCATAATCACTCCGGGGTTGATCAAATGAGTACCACTTTATTTGGAAGTTAAGAGTGGTTGTCCTCTGTGGCATTTCCACCGCTGGCTCGGGACTGTCAACAGGCGATGAGCACCGCCTCAATTCTCACTTTAGCAAGAAGGCATTTTAAATCAAGATTGAATCTCATGTCAAACCTTACATTCGACGTGGCCATAGCCTTGCCGCCTGCGCTGCTGTTTATTCTTCAAGTCCAATGCATTCGGTTGTGAACTTGATCCTTGTCCCAGGCCCTGCGGCAAGTTAGTTTATACCCCGAGCCACCCACGCGGCTGAGGAAACTCAAAACCCGGAGATTTTTTAGGGGGGGGTGGTGGAATTGAAAATAGCAGCTGCTGAGATGGCGTTGCCTTTAAATAGCTGTGGGCGACAGAGAGAAGGCTCGTTGTGTGTTGGGAGGGGTCTGGTGGGAGGGGAGTGGGGGCAGACAGCGTGGTAGGGGGTGGGAGAAGGGCTTGTACGTAGAGTGTGGGTGGGAGAGCGAGCGAGAGACTTAGAGAGAGAGAGGGAGGAAGAGAGTAAAGTGAGAGCAAGTGGACAGCGAACGGCCGCAGCTATGGATGATCACGTTGCTGAACGTCACAGGGCCAGATACAAGAGATCAGGTGGGAGATGGCACGCGTCTCTTGCGCGGGCGGCACACGAATTTTCTGCTGCTGATTCTGGCTCCAGCGCAAGGGGCCACTTTGATTTACAGGTCCTGTGTGTTTGTATGCACAGGACAGTGTTTGTATTGAGTGAAACCAGATCATAACTTTGAACGCGCCCTGTCTCTGCACACACACGCACACGCCTCGGAGGTTAAGCGAAACCCATGCTTAGGCTGCTGCGTAACTGGCCAGGAGGTGCGAAGTTTCACTGTTACCCTCATGTATACGTGATGGGGTTTGTCCGGGTACTCTTGTCTGACTTCCTCGTGCCAATCGTTAAGTGGATTGGTCAAGCTTCCCAGTGCTGCAGAACTCTCTTGAAAAGCAGCCATGAGACTCGAGTGAGGCTTTCTTGAGTAATTAGAGGGCGTCAAACAAATGTCATCACAAACAATAACTGACTGTTCTTTATTGATCCACTGATAAAATGATGGCCTCCCCATGCCGTGTCGGCCATGAGATTGTTTGACCATACTTCACCACGCTGGTCAGGCCGTATTGGTGAAGGCAGGAAGCAGGACCAGTTGAGTTATTATTCGCAGCGGATTTTAGCTGTGGAATTAAACTCAAGTAGCTGGGGTCATCATTCATCATTGCGCGGTATGCTAACCACTATACCACCACTCCGCCCTTACATCCAAGTATTGTAGATAAGTAGATCTCAGACTGTAGCCCCTAAACCGCTGATGAGTGGTCCGGACGCTCCTCCAGGTGGTTCGCGGGCTGTGATGCAAACCGCAAGTTGATCCGGAAAAATGACGTTTAACACTTTTGTTTTAGACATTAATGAATATTTTACTCATGATATTTTACTTAAAAATTAAGTGAGGTAAACTATACTAATTTAACTACCCTAATCATAAGATCTAAATTCCACCGCAAAAAAAACACCTTACAACTGCGTTTAAAATAAAATTTTGTACGTTCCAGTAATATGAATAATGTTGTGATAGTGGAATTTACAGAAAGTGAATGCGTTTTGTCACCAGGGACGGGAGGCTGGGTGGTGGTCCGTGGGCCAAACAAAGTTTGAGAAACACCGCTTCTCAAACTTTGGAAACAGGAACTGATCCGGCATAGTACCAGACATGGGGATAACCGATTTAGAAAGCCAGATCAGATTCCTGCCTGAGCTGGTCAGATCTCATAAGCTAAGCAAGGTTCAGCCCGGATAGTGCTCGGATGGGTGACCATCATGCATAACACAGGTGCTGTCGGCTGCTGTGGGGCTACGTTGTCGGTAGAGGGCAGGGCAGCAATATCCATTGTTGTACTGCACGATGCTGCAACATGTTCTACCCCTATTCGAACCAGCAATCACAATGCATGGTAAAGTATAGTCGAATTACCGCCACAACTCGCATGGCTTGACCAAAGGGCTGAGCCATGTACATTATTACTGCAGTATTCACCATTGCTGCAACCATATCACTGCTATTACAAGCTCAGCACTTTTTGACGATGATATTGATGTTGCTGCTGATGATGATGTTGGTAACTTTGCTGCTAGCGACTGCTCCTAATGCAGCAGCTGTTGCTGAGTCAAGCCTCTGGCCGGGACTTGAACTCACAACCCCCACAACTCTTGCAGCACACAGAGCCACCCGACCGTCCCAATGACGTTTGGCTTTTGCAGACGACGAGAAATTAACATCGGCGAACGGTGGTGATGCAAAGGGCTTGAATAAAACATGGCCCAGGTGAAAAATGCAGTGTGTGTGCGCGCGCGAGCGGTAATATCGTGTGAAGGTCACATTCGTCACCGGCAGTTTCTTGGCACATGAGATCGGAGATGTTTTCGCCACGACATTTGGGTGCCAGGGAGCAACAGAAGCCAGTGGTGGTGGTTGGGGGTGGGGGTCATAGGGGTAAGTGCTGTTAGGGGCCGTCCATTGAGTACGTACGCAAAAATGTCAAAACTCGACCTCCCTCCCTGTACGCACGCGTACTGTTTACACCCCCCCCCCCCCCCGAATCCTAGAGAACGGCCGATATTTAATCCACACAGAAACGATCAAGGATTAACACTATTAACGTGTTTAAGCAAACAGATAGTCCACCGCCGGACTATCTAACTCATTTGAAGGCCAATGTAGACAAATCATTATTATCGAGGCTTCACCTATGCGTACGTCCATTGTCAGTAGACCCCCATACGCAAGCGTACGCGTTTGGGTTAACCCCACTCCCCCCTCCATGCGTACGTACTAAATGGATGGCCCCTTAGCGAGCACCTATTATGGTTGCATCGTCACACAGGGGGCTCGGTGCGACTAACACCATGGCCAGGATGCCTTTGCACCCCGAGTACTGATCACACAATAAACCAGGTATTCATTTAAGACTGAGCGAACCTAGAGGAGGCCCAGAGCCGATTCAGACAACACATGCCATTCCATGTTATTTGTGGCCAGAAATTGAATCTGGGTTACCAAGTGGGAGAGCGGTGGCGCACGGGTTAGCGCACTCCACCATCGACCCGTCGACTTAAATTCCCAGCCACCGAATCATCAGTGGCGAACTTGTTTCAATACTTGCGTTGTGGTGGGACACTTTGTTAAAAATGAGAGCAACGCCAAGGAATGCTGTTGTTTGTAGTGTGTAAACATAGCGTGCACTCATGTTGTTGTAATAGCAGCGGCAGTGGTTTTGTCTCTGTGTATTGTTGTGTAAGCCAAATTATTTTTTTTATCTTGATTTAGATTCAGGGTACAGTCTTCATTTTGCCAGATGGGCGGCACTGTTGGTGGGGTGATTGAATCACAATTGGAAGGTTGTTAAGAGTTCAAACCCTGGTCAGGGTTAAACTCAGCCGATCATCGGGGGGGGGGGGTCTACAAAGTGGCTGTCTTGCGGATGGACTGGCCACCATCATACGAATGTGGAATTTCCACAAACGGATTCAGAACCGACAGTAGAGACGAGTACCACCCAGAGTCGCCACGGTGGCGAGATGTTGTCTTTCTCGCCCTGGTATACAGGAGGTCGTGGGTTCGATCCTGATCCAGACCCTGACGCCAGCTGTATATTTGGAGTTTGCGTGTCTCTCTCCACGTGGTCACGTGAATTTTTCTCCGGGTCTTCTGGTTTTTCCCTCGACATGTATAATCAACACGCGTCCATATTATTTGGCTGCTATAAATTTCCACATGATATCAGCCGATTCGTTGAGCTATCATTTGTGGCAAGGTCACTTCGAAAAAATCTAAGTGGGCTCTACCTGGTAAAATAATAAAAAAAATGGTTGGTTTAATAGATGAAATTGGTGGCAAATGATCTTTAAAAAGTAGAGTCTAGTACTTGCGGTGGTCGGAAAGCCAAGGCATTGCAATAAAGTATGCAACATCGTATATTCTTGAATTATGATGGAGCGGTAGTGCAGTGGTTGGCACACTGCACTATGAACCCAGCCACCTGAGTTGGGTTCCTGGCCACGGCTAACATCAGTGAGGCAGTGATACCCATGTGTGAGCTGATAACACTGTGTAACAAAAACGTGTTTTTTGTTCCTGGGTAGTAAGTGTTATTTTCTAATTGCTTAAGCCTCAAAAGTACAGAAAATGGCTATTATTCCCCACAAACGTTGCTTTTGTGACCAGGACAGTGATATATTTAAATTTACCTATGTTCAATGAGAAGACAGTGTGCATTTGTGTCATTCCTTCACATAAAGTCCCGGTCACAAAAGCAAAGTTTGTGGGGAATAATAGCCATCTTTGCTACTTTTGAGGCCAAAGCAATTAGAAAATGACACTTAATACCCAGGAACAAAAATCGTGTTTCGTCGTGTAATTATACACTCCAGTGTACAGTATACAATGCCGATAGTTGCCACGGAAACCCGTTGTCACCCCCTCTGCTCACGGGATGTGCAGGGCTCGCATGGAACCCGCGACGTTGCGTGTTTACTGAGCTGTTCCGTCGTTTCTCGTTAAGTGTTCCATGTCCGCAAGAACTTGTCCGCGATTTCAAGCACAGCAAGTGCTTGTACGACAGGATCTTTTTTTATCCGAACCAGTCCCGGGAACCTGATCCCTTAACCGATCCGCACTGACCAGCGTGGTGAAGTATGGTCAACTAAAGCCCACACGGCCGACACGGCGTGGTGGAGAAACCATCCGGCAGTGGATCGAGAAAGGCCTGCAAATAATTATAATCTGCATTCTAATAAAACCATCACAATGACCACACATGCCGTCCAAGGCAACCACTTAATCAGTACAGTACACAATCTAAACATGTAATTGTGAAAGGGGCACCAACACGGATCTTTGCGGTTTCTGTGAAAGAGCTTTTATAGCTCATCGGATTCCTCCAGGATTAACATTCTCATTCTGAGAAAGGCCTCTTCTCCCGAATCTCCTCCTTTGTCTCCCCATCCCTCGCTATAAACCTCCCCCCTCTTCCCCGCCACTGGGGTCGCCTCTCCGACCCCCGATCCGCTTCTGCGAGCGTGACCCCTCGTCCTCCGTGACCCCTCGTCCTCCACGTGACCCCTCGCCCTCTACGTGACCCCTCGCCCTCTACGTGACCCCTCGCCCTCCACGTGACCCCTCGTCCTCCATGTGACCCCTCGCCGTCTACGTGACTCCTCGTGCTCTACGTGACCCCTCGCTCTCCACGCGACCCCTCGTCCTCCACGTGACCCCTCGTCCGTCCTCTACGTGACCCCTACACCGCTCAGCCCCAACGTGCTCCCCACCAACGCCACAGTTTCATAATAAAGTTAGATGCACAACAAGCTGCTGACTTGCTTAACAAACTTTATAATGTACGTATAATTATATTCTCGGTTCTTTCGGTAAAGTCACGTAGAAGGGAAATAATACAATAATACAAATATAAAACAATAAAAGTACGTATCATTGTTAAGAATGTTTCTTTCTGGCTTATTTTTGTTTCTGGTTGCCGCGCCACTGCCGGCCTCCCACTGTACGCGGCAGCTCTGGTTTCAC